TGTTTTGGGGAAAGAAATAACAGTGAAGAAACATAACAAAACGCTGTCTTCTGAGTTCAATTTCAGGAAAAACCAAAACATTGATTCACTTTCAAAATACAATATGAGGAGAAAAAATAGAGAAAGAATTAGGGATTTTACCTACAGTGATACCTTGCAGACGAAAGAAGGATTACAGTGATGATGAAGAGAGCAGATGGTTTGATGCTGTGTAACTTGCAGAAATAGAAGACCAGAGACAGAATCAAAATCCATAGGAAGAGTCGAAAAGGAAAAAAAAAAAGAGAGAGAGAAAGGATCCATAACAACTTACCAGATTCTAACAGCATGAAGAGGAGTCGAAACCCATATGGAGAGAGAAAAAAACAGGAGATCTGGGCTTTGATTTTAGATTTTTGGTGATGCACGGTAGAGATGTGGCTGAATCTAAAATAGATTGGTGTTAGAGATGGATGATGGAGAGAGTTCACAATAAAGAGAGGATGAGATCTTGGCCGACTGTGAAAGGGGGTGAATGAGGAGAGAAAGTGAGAAAAATGAAAGTGAAAGTGAAATGAGAAGAAAATACTAGAGAATAACGATGAGTCCATTTGAAACTTTTTAAAAGGGGTGGAGGGAAAGGTTTTGGCGGAGAATCGAGGGATGGAGGAGGCAGGGAGATGAAAATTTTCAGGAGAGGCTGAGAGGGAATGAACGAAATTTCTCAAATTAGGGTTTGTGCTGAATGAAGATGTAATATGTTTTATATTTGCTTAAAAAATAATGCGGGTTTTCGGTTGTGCTATTCGGTTGTTCGGTTTTTGAGTCTACAACCGAAAACCGCACCGCTTAGAAACGGTTGAGGCCCAAAACCGCTACTTGGGCCCGAAGGCCGTTCATGCCCGCACCGCAAGCCCGACTTTGGTGCGGTTTTCGAGCAACCGATCGGTTGCCCGCGTGCACGCCCAGCCCTACCCATGGATGACGTTATGTATGTATGTCAAATCATGTCATGTACATATTTTTTAAAAAAAATGGATGAACTCTCATAGGGGCACTCCACATCAAAGAAGTATAATATATAAAGATCCATGGAACTAATAGGTTAGTTTTTGGGTTCCAATGTAGTGTCGAAACATGTAATGAATCACTTAATGTTGCCTTGCTAAGTTGTATATATCCCCAACAAAGTAGAGAAATTAAGGGAAGAAGAGGGCTTCCACTACTAGAATTCATAAATTCCCCGACATGAAATCACGTCGAAAAAAAAGGAAATCACGTTGGTAAAGCAATTTTTCGATAAGAATCATGTCAATAATTGGGTTCTCGGTGAAAGTAGCCTTAGTAATTCATTTACCGACGTAGATAAAAGTTACGTCGGTAAGATAACTCCAAATTACCGACAAAAAATATGTGTCCAAAGTTGTCCCGGAACAATACTACCAAAGTTCTTTTCTAGTAACTCACATCGGTAATTCACTGATGAAAATCATGTCTCCAAGTACAATAAACAGTGTCTTGGTAGGTGGGATGGTGGGCTAGTTACCGACAAGAATCATGTCTACATATTATGAACAATGGCATACTAGGTGGAGTAGGTTGGCTAATTATCGAGGAGAATGGTGTTTGAAATTTGAATTGGCAATGCAATGTGGGAATTTTCAATTTACAAATTACTGACGAAAGTCACATGGGTACATAAATCTATTAAAATATAAAAAAAACCAGTTTCTTGAATTAATATTGAAATTAATATATAATTTTTATTTAATTCAATTAATTTACATTTAAATATTACCTAATTCATAATATTTAATTTTATAAAAAATAAATATGATA